TGAATTGGGAGACACCGCTGTGTGAGTTTCATAGTGATTTGACTGCAGAGGAGGAATTTGAGACTTTGTTTCTCCTCAACATGACTAATTGACACTGAAAAGACAGGGACAAGGCTTAAGATTTATTCATTTCCCAGAAATAACCAGAAAGCAATTGAACAACCATCCGTTTAATTGTATTTCCCAAGTGTGGCCACACCACTCACTCATTTCAGGTTAGATACCAGCTGCTTTTGGTGTTGGGGGTGGGGATGGTGATGCCTTTAGAATTCATGAATTTTGTACATTTTGTATTTTGAGTTGCACACGCATATTTCAGCCCTGTTCTGCCATTAGTTGTATATTCTGCCTTATTTTCAACTCACCATGCACAGAATTAGGGGAGCCTTAAGAAGTGCCAGATGCCATTGTCATTTAGATTTGCCAAGTCAAAGAGGCGCAGCCAGTCCCAAAGTGCCTTTTTGGTTGCTTTTGCATTTTGTATAGACCCGTGACAGAACAGACAGCTTTTCATTGCTGTGCACTTTTCTGTGTGCCAGTCGTTTCACATAAAACTGCTGAAAGTTACTGTGCAGTCAGGCTTCAGTGTGTGATTAATTCTGTAACTTCCTGCAGGCTGCTTTTGGTTGTTGTCAAATACACTGGGTGGGTGGAAGGGCCGGCATTTAAGACCAGAACTGTTTCCTCAGAGGAATGGACAGAGGCGGTTGGCAAATTTTATATGGTTCTGATGTTTTTGCAATTTCAAATGTGATGTTTTAAAATTGATTTTATGCACCTAAATACTCCATGCCCTATTGTTGCCCTACCCTGCCTCATCCTTCTTCCTCCACCTCCACCCCGAATCCTCACAAAAAAAGTTACTGGGACATGACATTGAAATGCTGGTGGTGATATGTCTTGGGATCTCATCACTGGCAACTGCACTCTCAGGAGCCCAGATGCAGGAGTGCACTAGCCACTTCTGGGTCCCGTTATTTCCTATGGAAACAGTCCCTGCACCTGCTATCCTCCCTGTAAAGCCTCATCAGAATCACTCTGTATAGTGTGTACGTTTTGCTTAATTTTGCTTATGTTGTTGGTGCAATGAACATCGTTTCCACTTTGCCAGTAACCACTTGATTTCGAACAGCTGTAGTCTATGAACCTGCTGATGACTTTTTTTTTTTTTAATGTAGTTCAACTAAGTGACAATTACCACAGGCTTACCTGAGAGGAGTTGTCATTTTTACTGCCAATTTTTCGGATGAAGATGTTTTTATAAATCTTTCAAAATGGTCTGCAGATCGAGCAGGAATTGCACAACTAACTCAATGCTGTGTGTTCTCAAGAAGCTCCCTTAGTGAAGGCCTTCCCAAAGGGGGGCCGGTTCTGCCCATTAAAGATGTCCTGGGAAAGAAAACAAAAGCATCCCAGTGGGCATGCCGCCTGTGACTCCTGGAGTGCTCGTGTGGTCACTCACAACTACAGTGAATTGTGGGACCCAGAGCACTACGGCATCAGACTCGCCCTGTCGCGCCCCACCCTCCCTGCTAACATTGAGGTGTGTGCAGTTACCTTTTGAGCTTGGAACAAGCAGACTGGAATTTTCCTCTGCTACCTCTTGTGTATAGAATCTTGTTTATAAAATTTCAAAAGGAAGTAGATAAGCTAAGGAAGAGTCTTAATTCTAAGTTTGGGTCATGAGTGGCAGAGTTCTCAGCTTCTAGGAGCATAAAATAAATTTTTCAAAAATGTAAAATTGGAGTCTCACTGACATTTTTCTCCGTATGTCAGAATATAGCCGGGGACGGGGGCATCCTGGGCTGGTGGCCTAGTGCCAAACAGTGCAGTGTTTCCTTGGAGAACTTTGTGATAACATTGGCAGTCAGGCCCACTTTTTAATATAGGGGGTTTATGAGTCACCAAGCTTTTTGTAATTCATTCTTCTCCATAGTCTGGCTGTTTTAGAATTCATTTGCAAAGCTTGGATGAGGATACTGAACTCTGGCGGATGGCATGCCTATGTCTCCATCATAGCCTTCAGGTCCCTCCTAAGTGGTCCCCTGCAAAAATCACGTGCCTTGGCCAGGCTAGGTCTCTTGGTTCTCCCCATGGGTCCCACCCTTACTCCTAGCATCCTGCCTTTGCTCACACATCCCTGGGAGGTTTGCTAGTCCAGATCTTCCTCCTCTTGCTGTGTCCCACACCCACTCCTCCCCTACTCTCCAGTGACACCTGCCAGCCATCTGCAACAGGCAAGTTGTTCCCTTCTCTGAAATCATGGAGCTGTCAGACTGTAGATATCCAAAAGACTGACACTTGATTTTGTGCTGTCTTGGGGGAGAGGGGGTCTGGTATCACAGTACACACAGATGCCACTCTTTCCTGGCATCCGAGTCCATTAGCTTCTGTGAGCTCTTGAACACCACCTTCCATATCGGGCACAGATTGTCAGAAAGTATAATTCGAGCAGATTTTCCCTTTGAAAATGGAGTCCCTCACAACTTAGGATACAGGCTTTGTAGAGCTAGACCTTGCCTAAGACAACTGCACTGTCCACATGCACAGTGGGGTGCAGGGGATTAGGAAGTCCCACCAAATGGGTTGACTACGCTTGGCAAAGAGGTCTGAGGCGTCATAATTTCAAATCACAGACACAGCACTGACTTCTGGTTACAGAAGCATCTGGCACCATGTAACTAATTTATTCCATAAATAAATACTTCACTCTGTGCTAGGTACTGGGGAGATATGAATGAAGAGTACATTGGGAGCTCAGTTTGGTGGGGGGCATAGACAATAGAGCAGCTAGAATAAGGGACAAGTTACCAAAGAGGAACCCTAACTTCTTGGAGTTAGGGAAACTATAGGAAAACACTGATTACATTCCTAGAATACATGCAAGGAAAAAACTCACTTTACCAGCTTCTACACACTTACTGAATACTTTGGTTCGTAAAGCCAAAGTAAATAAGGAGCCATGGTGGTACAGTGGTTAAAGTACTTGGCTGCCAACCAAAAGCTCAGCAGTTTGAACCCAGTGGCCACTCTGTGGGAGGAAAATGTGTCAGTTCCTGTAAAGATTTACAACCTTGGAAACCTAGGGCAGTTCTACTCTGTCCTATCTGGTCACTCTGAGTCAGAATCGATTCAGACGGCAGTGAATTTGGTTTGGGGTTTAGTATAAGCAAAGCATTACCCCAGACACTCAAATCCAGGCAAGAGTCATAGCAAAACTTTTATTTTAAAAGTCACCGTATAATAAAAACACTACAAAACCCAGAATAAATACCTTGTTACAAAAGCAAAACAGATCTAGAAAAGCGTCTTGCTATAAAAATGCAACAGAGGGCGCTGTTCACAAATAGACCAAAAAGGTAAATATATGCGTGTCTGCTGGAGGGGTGCTCAAAGAGGGACAGGCCCCTCACCCAAACCCCTCAGGGTCTGTCCACCCAGGTCACAGTGAATTGGGCCAGGGTAATCATAGGCAAAGTGCCCTCCCACAGGGACCAAGAGCAGGATGAAGCACAGGCTCTTGACTGCATACTGCTACATCACATCTGCATTCCCCTGGGGTCCTCAGTGTTAGCTCTGAAAATGGGGGCCCAGCTGGTGAAGGTTAAAGAAACTAGGCTTTAGAGCTGGCCAGATGTGGGTTTTATCTGAGCACCACCTCACTTTATGGCCATGTGAGTTTGTGGGCATGCCCTCTCTCTGGTTTCTAGTTTCTTCCATTAATGGGCTGAGAGGGCTGGGTGAGGTGGTATATCTATCGTGTGGCCCTCCACTTCAAACTGAAGAGTAAGCCCCAGGACAGTGTTACTGCAGGCCAGTCCTGAGCAGGTAACAAAGCCTGGAAGGCAGCACAGTGGAGACAGCTGGGAGAAGCAAAGGCATGGTCCTATGATCACTTGGGACACATCTCCTACCTCTGGCTGGGTCTCTGATGCCACTGCTGGTGGCTCAGGGTGGGCACAAGAGCTAGGAATTTCAAGGAGAGCTGTCTCCCAGGAGGCGAGTCCTAACAGCAAGGCTAGGAGGGCTCATGGAGATGACTGACCCCATGGGGAAAACCCAGAGAGAAAAGGCAAGAACTTGAACCAAGGTCTCCTGGCAGCTGGTGATGGGCTCATTCTGGCCTTGTTTGCCCCATCTGTCCAATGGGTGGAATAGGCCCTCCCTTTATCCAGGACTGCTTTGAAAACCTTTGAGAATGTGGTCAGAAAAGTACTTCACACATTCTGAAGTGTTGGCTGGATCTGAGACAGCATCAGCCCTTTGGGGTGGCTGGCAGATGCAGACTCTCTGGGGCAAGAAGTGTTCAACGCTGGTTCAGGGTGAGGAAGAAGTGATGCCTGAGTGAGGTGGGAGTACCTGGCCTCCACGTAGGGCTGGGTGTGTGCCCCCCGCCAGGGGATGTAGAAAACTGATCTACTAATCAGGGAGCTCAAAGGGCTTCTCCCAGTGGGCAGGAGGAGAGTGGCAGTCAGTACCTTTCACACTCACTGCCCTGACTGCTATTTGGCCCTTCCAGTTCCTGTCCAGCCTCACCTACCCATGGAGACGAGGTTTAAATGCTTGAGATGTAGCAGGAGCTCAGTAAAGGTAATTCTGCCCATGGGTGTTGGCATCTCGGGAACAGCTGGCAGGAAAACTCAGCACAACTTTGCCCATTTTAATGGTGGAATGCCAACAGACACACCCCCTAGGAGTGATGGAGTGAGCTTCCTGGCACCTCCAACCCTGCAAGCCACAGCTCAGTTCTGGGAAGAGGGTGATGCAGGGTGAGATCAAGTTCTCCCAGAGCCCACCCATCCCACATGCCAGCACTGCAGCTCTGGAAAGGGCAAGGAATCCTCTGTCCCCATGGGCCCAGGCCACAGAAGGCTAAGGAAGGGCTGTCAGGGAGGGGGGACAGAGGAAGGGCAAAGTCTAAACCATTTCAAAGCCCAGACAGGGAACCACAGCACCTAGCCTCTGATCCCTCCCCACACACCACGTCCTGGGAGGGGCCATCACTGGAGCGCCGGGGAGAGTTGACTCCGGCAACAGATTGCGATGGAGGCTATGGCCTCCTCACTGGTCCTGCCACCTGCACTGAAGTCCTGGGTCCTCACCACACATGTGTTGTCCACAGCATAGGCCCCCAGGACACGGGAGGCCCCAGGAAGAGCACTGCAGCCCGTCAGAGTCCAGCCCTCCTCACAGGCCACAGTCACCTGCCAAAGCAGAAGAAAGGACATGTCCAGCTTTGCCTGGAGGCCAGGCATCACTTTTTCCTCTCTGAGCCAACTTTGAGCACCTGCTGTCCTAGGAGCTCTGTATCCGCCCACTGACTTCCCACATCAGGCCAGGTCTGCGGATGTCTAACAAGGCAAGTACCAAACTCCTCATCTTCCCCCCAAATCCACACACACATCTCCCAGTCTTCCCTGTCCCAGTTAATGGAAACTCCATGTGTCCAGCAGCTCAGCAAAAACCTTGGAATCATCTTCCATTCCTCCCACCTACACCCAATCTGTCAAAGATCCTGTGGGCTCCTCCTCCAAATTCCAGAATCCAACCACCTCTGCCATCCAAGTCCAAGCCCCACCATCTGGGCCTGAATCATCATGGTAGCTGCTCCTCTGCTCTCCCTGCTGCTGCCCATGCCTCCTGCATTCTCTCCTCCACTCAGCAGCCAGAGTGAGCCTGTTCACACCCAGGTCAGATCACGTCCCTCCCTCCTGGGCTCTGAATTCTGGATGGCTCCCAACTCACTTGGGGCTGAAAGCCAAATCCTCACTGGCCCTCAGGCCTGACCTAACCAGGCCCAAGCCCCTCTCAATGCTTGTCACAGGAGTCCTGGCTGATTCTCACACATCCAGTCATGTTCCTACCTCAAGGACTTTGCCCTAGCTGTTCTCTCTGCCTAGAACACAGTTCCCTACACTTTCATGGCTCTCTTCCTCAACTCCGTCAATATTTGCAGAAAGGGCACCTTCTCAGTGAAGCCTTTCCTGATGACCCCACTTCCATCTCCCCATTCTGCTTTATTTTTCTCCACAGCACTTACCATCTTTTAAGTACTATATGATTGAGTCATTTGTTTACTATCTGTATCTCCACTCTAATGGACCCTCTAGGAAGGAGGAGCAGGGTTGTTTGTGAGTTTGTGTCACCAACGCCTGTACCTGGAGGCAGCACTTGGTACAGGGTGAGGGAGGGAGGGGGTCAGAGGCAGTCTTTGCCCTCAAGGAATGCATAATCCAGACCACAGTGACCAGTCTTGCACTTCTAAAACTCCAGAGTGCATTTAAGAGCAGACACTAAGGGCTTCCTTTTAAGAAGCTGCCTGTGGCTTTTAAAAAGCAGAGTTACGGAGCAATTGCTGATGCCTGGCTGGCCTTCCAGGAACTGAGTGGCTCTTCTCAAGGTTTCTTTTTTTTTTTTTAATTTTTACTGTGATTTGGGTGAAAGTTTACAGAGCAAATTCATTTTCCATACAGCGATTCATACATATTTTGTCTCATGACACTGACTTCAATTTCCCACAATGCAACAACTCTATTCCCACTTCCTCCCGGTAGTTACCTCTTCCCTGTGTCCTTCCCTCCCATGCACTCCTGCCCCCTGAGCTGTCTCCCTGTGCAAACACTGCCCTTCTGTTCTCCCATGATTGACTGATGGCTCCAAGGAGTGTATCTACCTGATGTAAATGTTCAGTCCTATGCCTGTCTCTTGTTTGACTGGAAGCCACAGGATTTCAGTACCAGACCTGAAGGGTAGCTAGGGGCCATAGTCTCAGAAGTCTCACCAGGCTCTAGCAGACCAGCAAACCTGTTTTTTTTTTTTTTTTTTTTTTATGATTTTGAGTTTTGTTCCTCACTGTTATCCCACTCTACCCATCTCCTCAAGGTTTCTGAAGGGCTCACATCCACACTAATGGCTCCTCTGCCTTCATTGTTCAGTTCATGTGTCCCCTCCTCTGGGTCCTGGCTGAGTCATCCTATGTCCTTGTTCAGCCAAGCTCCTGGCCCTGAACAACCTCCGGGCAGGTTTACTAAATGGATCAATCAATAAATGCTTGTTCTCTCCAAAGGCAGAAGTGAAACAGGACAGCCACACACAAGCATGCACACACAATTGCCAAAACTGCCACCTTCCAGCACCCAGAAACCACACACATGACGGCAGAGTGGTGAGACAGATACTGACACAGAGAAGCCACCCTGCGGGCACCAGGCACCATCCCGCCCCACATTTCTCTTCACCTTTTCTGCAGGACCTGAGACTCCGTGTTCCTTGACTTTGCACTCCAGACCTGGGGCATGGCAGCAGGAAGCGTGGACACTAGCCTTGCGGTGGCCTACACACTGACCATGTGGTCTCGGCACAGGCTGCCTGCGAGTGTCAGGGTCCTCCGCCTCCCAGTGGGAGCTGCAGCCTGAAGCAGAGGACGAGCCGCTCAGACCTGGGAAAGCCCAGGGGATCTTCTATCTCTTCCCCACCCACAAAGGACCTCATCTCTTTAGGGTCTGAGAGGCAGGAGGTGGGAAACCCAGAAACAATTCAAGGTTAAAAGTGACCCATGTCTGAGTAACAGGACTCCTGGGTTCTCAACTCAGTGTAACTGCTGACCTTCTATGTGACCTTGGAAAGCTGCTCAACTTCTCAGAGCCTTAGTTTCTCAGGGAAGACAGTATCCTTCCACTCAGAGATGGAGAGCATTGGGGCTGGGGCTCCAAGATCTGAGATGCTACAAAAGGCATTCTAACTCTCCCAGGCCCCTCCCCACCCAGCCACCCAGGTGGAAGTTCAGGAGTGAGCTTCTATCTGGGTCACCTGGGTATGAGACCTCAGATAATGGTTACTCAGCTACACTGAACCTCAGTTTCCCAACTTATAAAATGGAAAGAGTAGCAGCACCTACTCACAGGGATGCTGTGAAGATGAAATATGGATACACACATGAAGCCTCAGCACAGTGCCTGGCACATGGCAAGTGATCCATACACGTTAGGTTCATGGTTACTAGAACTCTTTGCATCTTAGCTGCATGGCCTTGGGCAAAGTCATCCACCATGCCCACCATGCAGTTCTCTTCATTGTAAAATGGGAGTGGACTGGATGGGTTTCATAGATTCTAGGGTTTCCGTGCCTTCATTGGCATGTGCCCTTACGTTTCTCTAGGGTTTTCACAAAGGGGAGAGTGATCAGAACTCAGTGGACTTCCAGCAAGCCGGGACCCTGAGACAGAGCATGGCAGCAACATGCTGGATTCGGTCAAGACTCTTCACTGGCCAAGGTTACCAGAATCTTAACTGGGCTCATCTTTGCACCCAGCCAGCCTACTCTTCTTGGAGCCAGGGTCTTACTAGTCACCCTCCTGCTCCTAAACCCTCAGTGGCTCCCCAGTACCTACTCAATGAGAACCAACTCCTGAGCCAGATGCTACAGGGCTCCTCCCCACCGTCTCAAACCCTTTCTGGGACATCCTGTGCTCCACTCAAGCAGGGCCTCACCTGAGGGCACCATCTGTGACTTCCTGCTACCTGCTGAATCATGCTGCCCAGGGCACATTTTTGACACAGAATAGTTGTCTGTATGAAAGACTGGGTTTTAGAGAAATGGGTGATGATGATAATAATAGCTAGCATTCACAATGCCCTAGTACCAAGGTATGTACTTCACCCCATCATTTCCATTTTACTGATATGGGAACTAAGGCACAGAGAGGTTAAGTCACTTTTCCAGGTCACACAGCTGTTATGTGGCAGAGTGGAATTCCAGCCAAGCTTTGCCTAGCTTTCAGATCTGGCCTCTGAGCCCCTGCCCTGAATTGCCTCACGTACAGCACTGGCTTTTGTTGTCTGCCTCCTGTGTTCCAGAACTGGTGCTCTAGACGTTCATGGCAACCCAGTGAGGCAGTACTATCATCATGCCCACTGACTGAGGAGGAAGCTGAAACTGAGAGGCTAAATCACCTGTGTAGGGTCACCCAGCATGGAAGTGGTAGAAGTGGTAGACCAGGCAGTCTAGCTCCAGAATTGATGAATTATGCTCTATGAGGACCAAGCCCAGTGGGGGCTGAGTGCATAAGGAGACAGGAACTCCTCCATACCTCAGGGTGAGGCCTAATTCCTACCTGTGAGGACGTGGCCTTGCTGGCGGCAGTGGGTGTGGGTCTCCACCCCAGCCCCAGCTGGTGGTGCTGTGTGGACGCTGCAGTTGGCTTGAGGCAGCAAGCAGCACCTGGCAACAGCATAGACACCCTCACCTCCAAATGCATTGTGGGCCAAGCAGACTCGCCTGCCCCCTCGGGCCTGGGAGCCAAAGACAGAAACAAGAAGCAGCTTCAGAAAGGGCTTCAGAAACCCAAGATGAAGGATGCTGGCAAAGACCTCCTCAGAAGCATCTGGTCCTAGCCCCTTAGCCCTCTTTAGCATCCCCACTTGTCAGCCCTGCTCCCATATGTCTGGGGACAAATAGCTCACACCCCTGCCCAAGGCAGACTATTGTATGGAGAGGCAGCTCTGCCTGTTCCAAAGTTCTTCCTGACACTGAGGTCCCTGGGTGGCACAGCTTGTGTTCAGTAAAAGGATGGCAGTTCAAGCCCACCAACCCGGACCAAAGAATAAAGAGCTGGCGATCACATAAAGATCACAGCAAGAAGAAAACTGTATGAAGCTCAGTTCTAGTCAATAACACATGGAGTTGCCATGACTCAATATCAACTCAATGGCAGCGGGTTTAGTCTTTGGTTTTCCTGACACTGAAAATGCCTTCAAAATGGAGAGACAGAGGAATCACTAAGCCACCAGGGCAAGGCCGAGCCAGCTCAGCCCCGACCCCCTCCCACTCTTTCCAGCATGCACTCGCTTGCACAGCCCCAGCCAAGAGCGCTCAACAGACACCATCTTCCAGGCTGGAAATGCCTGCCTGTCTTTGCCCTCCTGGCTTCGCCAATGCCCTTCCACCAAACCCTGTATCCTTAACATCAATTCTGCATTTTGGTGGTTTGAGATATTCTCAACTTCCAGAACCATGAAGCATCTGAATGAAAAGGACCCTTGAAACCACTGAGTCCAAAAGCATCAAACCCCTGGCACACATGCTGCCCTTGCCCATAGCCACACCCAGACAGGCATTACTTATCGATGCAGAATGGCCCAGGAAGTTCCTCTCAGTGTGGTGCTCTCCAGGAGTCCCCTCGCACTAAAGTATGCAACTGGCACGTGAGATGAGATACACCCACCATCCTGGCTCTAGCACATTCTTTAAGCATGCAAACACTGGCTGGGGGGCTGAAGAGGGCAGAAGGGCTTGCTGGGTGTCCCCCAGGGGCAGGGCTGATCTGGGCTAAGAATCGAAAATCCTGCTTCATATACTGACATACAGCAAGCTCAGGGAGGGGTGCGGTCACCTCAATGCGCTCGCCCCGCCTCCTTCCAGTCCTGGAGAAACTTGAGCAGCTCAGCAGCTCCTCGCCAGTGGCACAGCGGGCCACAGCTCTGGCTGTCCGTGTAGGCCCTGAGTGCGCTGACCACACAGTCCTGCACAGCAGCTGCCCACCTGCAACAAAGCCCTGGGGGTCAGGGGTGTGGCCGAGGCTCCACCAGGGGCTCTGCTCACAGAGTGCACCAGAAACATCTTCAGTTCAGGGGAGGGGGCTTAAAGAACCTATTAACTTTTTCCATCAGAACACTGTAATAAAGCCTCGCAAAGCCCATTCACAGCCAGCTGTCATTTCTCTTCCCCACTCTCCAGCAGGTGGGTGAGACACTCCTCCTGATACAATGTGTGCCTTCACACAGACTTCATGAGACCTCCCAATCTACCCCCTTACCTGCTCCGTGGGTACTGGGGGGCAGTGTGGCCACCAGGTTGGGGGTCAGCACTCGCTGGTCCTCAGGGAACCAGGCCTCATTGATGACGCCTTTGGCAGAAAAATAGAGCAGTCTCTGCCTCAGCTCAGCCAGGGTGAGCTCCGGCTCGGCGGTCAGCATCATGGCCAAAATGCCTAGGCAGGGGTTAGGGGGTGGATGGTAAGATATGGGGATAGCCTGACTTTCCTTCCCAACAGGGGACCCCTCTGCATGTGCATGTGCACACACACACACAACCTAGCTTTTCTTCCAGAAGTTAAACCACCACAGTCCGTTTGCTAAGTGAAAGCCAAATAGTAAGAGCCTCTTATATCCAGCTTTCACACCTCTAGGCCCTGACAGTTGCTGTTTGTTTTGCCAGGTAAACCCCTATTCATCCTTCCCAGATCAAAGGTTCCTCATCCAGGAAGCCTTCTCTGATCTTTAGGGTGGTCAGGGACCTCCTCTGGGCTCCCACTGCCCCAGCCCTGACAACTCTGCTGTGTTAGTGTTGTTTGTGCTCCTGCCTTCCCCACCTGACTGAGTGTCCTTCCGGGTACTGTCAATCTGACTCATCTTTGGTTCCCTGTGCCCAGCATACAGCCTGGTGCACAGAGCCTGGCACACAGGGCCTAGCACACAGAGGTCCTGGCTCATGGAGGTCCTGGCACAGACCCAAGGGGGCTATTAGAATCATGGTGGCCCGAGACAGGGGGGCAGCAACTCACCAGCCACATGTGCAGCAGCCTGCGATGTCCCACTCTGTGACGCAAAGCAGGTGCTACAGTCACTGGAAGCACCGATAATGTCATCCCCTGGGGCAAAGAGGTCCACGCAGCGGCCAAAATTGGTCCCCAGGGCTCCTAGGGTCACCGGCTGGTCCTGGGCATTGGTAGCCCCAACAGTGATGACCTGGAGAGGTGAGGAGAGGGATGGAAGATGGGGGAGGGGCCGCAGGGACAGACTGAGACCCTGCCAGCTGAGCTGGTGGACTCCTGTATACCTTGGGGCCCCCTCCCAAGGAACATCTTTGACTCCCTGCCCCACTGCTGCTATCTGTCCCTACATCTCAGGCCCCACTCATGATGCTGGGAGTGCCCACACAGGCAAGCCCCCTGCCCCTATGGAGCTGGCATCCCAGGATGGAGAACACAGGCGATAAACAAATCAACAGTAAAACTCTTGGTGCTAGGGAGAAAAACAGAGAGGGAAGGAGGAGAGGGTGTGCTGAGTTTTGTTTGCTTTATGCTATTTTAAATCCAGCAGCCAGGGGACAGACAGCCTCTCTGATAGGCCAGCGGGAGGGGGTGGAACAAGTTGCTTTAGAGTTGATTCTAACTCATGGCAACCCCACAGTGTGTCTGAGTAGAACTGTGCTCCACAGGGTTTTCAATGACTGAATTTTGGGAAGTGGGTAGCCAGGACCTTTCTTCCAATGCACCTCTTAGGGTAGACTCAAACCTTCAGTCTGTCCATTAGCAGCCAAGTATGTTAACCATCAGCACTTCCAGAGTCATGACTGCACCCTCCCCCCGACACCCTGTGAAGTCCTTTAGAGTTCCTTGTCAGGGGCGTCCAACCTCCAACATGTGGTAGGGGGCCCATGAGTGTTGGTCAGATGAATGGCCAGCTCATGCCCACCCACCAGACTGTTAGCCTCCTGGGCAGCAGCTTCATTCATCTGTGTCCCTAGCATCTAGAACAGACCTGGTGCAAAGGCTGGCTGACAGAAGATGCTCTGTGGACATTTGTCAAATGAGTAACTTTGAGCCCTCATCTGGCCCCAGCATCACTCAGGTGGTAGCGGCTAACTGGGGCCTCAGGAACAGCCAGACAATGGAGAGGCCATGGGGGTACCAGACAGTGAGGGGGCAAGCTGTGTTTTAGAAGGAGCCCCTGAAGCATTATGAGGTGGCCTGGCAGAGGAAGCAGGGGGAGAGGAGAGAAAGCTGACAAGACTGTTGTGTGGACCCAGGGGAGAGGGAAGGAGGCCCAGGCAAGGTGAGATTGTAGGGATGGGTTGAAGAGGGAGGACTCAGGAGACACGTAGGAGGGAGAATGGTCAGGACCTGGGGCATGGCTGCATGGTGTGAGAGGAGGAGTTAGGATGATCCCATGTTCAGGCCGGCTTCTGAGTGGACAGTTTCCGGCTCTAGAATGTGGAAGTTCAAGTCTCACCTCCTTCCCAAGCTCTGGCACTCAGGGTTCTCTGACAGCTCCTTACTAAACCTTGGCCAGTCCCAGCTCCAAGAACATACCATAGGAGGCCCCCAGCATGCCCACCTCCCCCTCTGATCTGGGGCATGGCAGCACCAGCACCTACCTCAGGAGCCGAGGCTGGTGAGTACAAGCAGGCATCGTCCCGGAAGTTGCCAGCAGCAGTGACCATAACCACCCCAGCCCTCGCCAGGTGCTGGCAGGCAGCGTTGAGGACCCGGCTGTGCCCGCCCACCAGGGGCAGAAGCACCACCAGTGGCCCTGTGGGCTGGGCCAGCTGGCTTTTCCGAATAAACTCCAGGCCTGAGAGGACAAAGCCAAGGTCTTGACCTGGGAAGACACTGGTCCCTTTACCCCATCCACCTCCCCTCCACACACATAAGCAGAGTATTAAAACCTTGACAGCAATAAACCCAGCCCACGGGCTTCTATTTCTAAGTGCCCAGATATACTAACTTACGTGATCCTATATTAATAGCAACCCTACTATCCCTTTCTAGGAAACTGAGGTGCCAAGAGCTAAGTCCTCAGGCAAGAGAAGGAAGGGCCTACTTTGCTCCATCTCTGACCTCCACAACCCTGCTTGCCATCTATCCTGATGGAGAGAGACTTCAGTTCAAGTTTCTAGAATTTTAACTGTGTACTACCTTATAGATGAAATTGTGTGCCCCCATCAATATGTGCTGGAATCCTAACCCCTATACCTATAGCTGCAATCCTGTTTGGAAATAGGATTTTCTTTGTTCTGTTCAAAAGATCACACCTGAATAGGGGTGGGTTCTAAATCTAATCACTTCTGAATTATAAAAAGAGCAGATGACACACACACACACACACACATGAGGTGGGGGAGGTGGGGAGACAGATAACATGTGAGGCTCATCTACAAGCCAAGGAACCAAAGAACACCTCAGACAACCTACACAGCCAAGACTCTGACTTGGACTTTTAGCCTTCAGAACTGTAAGAAAATGAATTTCTGTTCTTTAAAGCCACATATTTTTGGTATTTCTATTTCACCAGTACTAGGTCATGAAGACAGAGCCACACAAACATAAGTTCAAGTCTTGGCTCCCTACTCATTAGCTATGTGACCTTAGCACCCTGAGATCCATTTCCTCATCTATAAAATGGGACCACAACTTCTTGGGTTGTTGTGAGGGATAAAAGACTCCAAGCCATATGACACCAAAATGCAAGCATTGAAGGGCAAAATAGATAATGAGACCTCCTCAAAATTAAATACTTTTATTCATCAAAAACCTTATCAACAAAGTGAAGATAACCTACAGATTGGGAGAAAATTTTGGGAACTGTATATGTCATAAGAATGTGATATCCAGGATATATAAAGAACTCCTGCAACCGAACAAAGAGGCAACAGCCTAATCAAAACACAGGCAGATGACTTTAAATAGACATATCACCAAAGAAATACAAATGGCCAACAAGCACATGAACAGATGCTCAATGTCATTACCTATTAAAAAACCTAACCAAACCTGTAGCTATCAAGTTGATTCCAACTCACAGCATCTCTGTAGGACACAGTAGAATTGCCCCGTTGAGTTTCCAAGGCTGTAGATATTTATAGAAGCAGACTGCCTCATCTTTCTTCTGCAGAGCGTCTGATGGGTTCAAACCACCACCCTTCTGGTTAGGAGCCAACTGCCTTAACCTCTACACCACCAGAGCTCCTTAGAATTACCAGAGGACTCAGAAATCCTATTTCAAGGTATATGTCCAAAAAGAACTGACAGTAGGAATACGCAGAGATACATGTACACCAAAGTTCATTGCAGCACTATTCACAGTAGCCAATAGTTGGAAACAGCCTAAATATCCATCAACAAAAGAATGGATAAAGTAAATGCGATACAATCATACAATGGAATATTATTCAGCCATAAAGAGAAATGATACATCCTGATACACACTACACAGAGATGAACCTTGAAAACATCATATTAAGTGAAATAAATCCTCCATGAAAGGACAAATATTGTATGATTCCACTTATACAAAATATCCAGAATAGGTAAGTGTATAGAAATTAAAATTGGTTACTGGTGACCAAGGAGCTCTGGTGGCATAGTGCCTAAGGTATTAATCTGCTAATCAGAAGGCTGGTGGTTCAAACCCACCAGCCACTCTGAAGGAAGGAAGGTTGGGCAATGTACTTCCATAGTGATACTGCCTCAGAAAACCAAGGAGGGGTCATTATGAGTGGGATCCAACCAACGGCAGTGCGTTGTGTTGTAGTGGTGACCTGAGGTGGATGGGAGGGAGGGAAAACTGAACTTAGGGTGGTGGAAATATTGGGAAATGGATTATGGTAACGGCTGTACAACATAATGAACACAATTAACATCTCTAAATTATATAGGTGAAGAATGTTGAAACTGCAGATAATTTGTCACATATATATATATATATATATATATATATATATATATATATTTGTTGTTGTCAGGTGCCTTTGAGTCGGTTCCAAGTCATAGTGACCTTATCTACCACAGCATGAAACACTGCCCAGTCCTGCACCGTCCTCACAATTGTTGCCATGCTTGAGCCCATCATTGCAGCCACTGCATACCACAATATTTTTAAAAAAAGAATCCACACCCCAGAACTGGTGGGGCTCATGGGCTCTCACCCTTGACTGTGTCCTTCTTCTGACCTCCATAGCCCTTGCTAATTAGAACTGAGTTTGTAGAATCACAGTGAGATGGTTCTAATCGCTCATCAGCCTGTCAGTTCCAGCCCAGGGGGCCCGGAGACCTGGCTTCTAACATCAGCTCAGCCCCTGAAGTGCCCAGGAGGCCCGGAGCTGAGAGCTTCTACCCTGCTAAATGGAGTGTGGTCTGGCTAGCCTCTCAGAATCTTCTGGATCTGGGCCTCTGGGACTTCCCTTGAGCCTCTGGCCTAGATGGGAGTTGGGGTTCATACCAGAGAGAGAGAGCTGAGTGGAACCAAGGAGGGAGGACAGAGTAGGAAGTAACAATCACAGTTATTGCTGCCATTTATTAAGCACCTATTGTGTGCATATCACTGTGCATATCACTTGATACACTTTACCTCAATCCCCTGCCTACAGAGGAGGAAACTGAAGGTGACAATCAATGTAATAGCTACCATTTCTGGAGCACCTGCTCTGCACCCGGTAATGTTAGGAACTTGAGATACACAGACCAGGACCCCAAAGAGGAGCCATGTTCTTCCCTAGGAAGCTTCCCCTAAGATGAGCACCAGGGCAAGGGCATTCCCAGGAAACTCAATTTTGGGAATGCGCCCCCCCTTCCTCTCACTGACCTTTGGGACTGGCCTGCCTGAGCATGGTTCAGTCAATAAAGGGGTGTGTTAGGAAGAGGGTCACCTGATGGTGCAGGGAATTATTGATTCTTGCCTTAAAAATCCCACATCAAAACCTGTACTCCAAATAAGAACATCACTGCTCCCAAGACAGACTCCTGGGCCACCCTAGCCTCTCACACAGGTCCACAGGCTGCCTCTTTCTGCTCAGAAGCCAGGGTCAGGCCCACGTGCCTGCCCCCAGGCTAAGTCACCTCCCCTCTCTGGGCCTTACCGTTGAACAGGGATCACAGTGCCAGCCTCAGAGCATAGTGTACAAAATCCCTGGCTCAGTGTCTGGTCATGGGATGAACTTGGCTAATGAGACCTCCCTTCCACTTCTCTGTCCACAGACCCCAGAATCCTGGCTTTCAGCTAGATTTTGCCTGGGGCCCAGCCAGAAGCACTTGATAGAGTAACCTGCAAATGTTTGAGAAAAATCCTCTGCCAGTCTCTTTACCAAGTCTACTTGGCAGGGGTGACCAGCAGGGCTCAATCAATAACACAAGAAAGTGAGTCCCCTGGTTTAGAAGCATTCAAGCAGAAGATGGAGAAAGTTTGCTTATGTAACATCAAGGGTCATCAATTCTAAGAAAGTATGACAAAAGGCATAGTATCTTAAAGGATTTCAGAAAGGGAGAAGGGAGACAGTATAGAGTTGTAGAAAGACCCAGGGATCAAAGCTGAGCAGCCTGGACTAAGATCCTGCCCCTCTCTGGGCCTTGGTTTCCCCATCTGCACTTGTGGGGACCCAACCAGCTCTGATATACTGGGACTCTCTGGCCCTTAAGCCAGGGCCACCTTAGACTCCTCGATCAGTACTAGTTAATTCTCTCTGGGCTTAAGCCACCTCCCACACCAGGTCCAGACAGAGTGAAACCAGTGCCATCTGGTGCCATCACTCACCTATGAGGGTACTGCTGACTGTGCCCTTCCCTTGGCAGTTGAGCACATGCAGGCTGCGCAGGCTGGCACCCTTAGCCACGCCAGCATCCCGACCGCTGATCACCCCTGCCAGGTGAGTGCCATGACTGTCACACTTGCTCGCCTGCTCAACCAATACAAGGGCCATGTGAGAAAGCCCACCGGTCAGCAGGTCACTGGATGAAGGACACTCCCACCCCATGACTGATGGCAGGGAAAGGGCTGTGTGGCTAGGAGACTCATCCAGCAGTACAGTCATGAAGCTCTGGGGGTGGCAGTCCCTATCCAGGTTCAGGCCCGGTGGGGGGAGGTAAGTTAGGGGAGGCAGCCTTCATCATTGGATGTGGCTGAGAGGGCACTTACCTGTCTGTGGAACCGAGTCCCATCCTCTTCCGGCACATTCTCAAAATCGGTCACTGTGACCCTGCCCTCAATTTCCCGGTGGCCACTCTGGATGCTGGTGTCTAAGAGGTATACCTCCACGAGGCTGCTGCTATCTGTCCAAGGCAACATTTGTGGGAGGAAAAAATGGAATAGTTAAGATCCGAATAGTTAATATGCTGTTGTTAGTTGTCATCAAGTGGCTCCCCAACTCATGGCAACCGTGCGCACAATGGGATCGGATCATTGTCATCCATAAGGTTTTCATTGGCTGATGTTCAGAAGTAGATCGCCAGACCTTTTTTCCTAGTCTGTCTTAATCTGAAAACTCCACTAAAATCTGTTAAGCATCATAGCAATTAATAGTAGTCAACATAATAATTAACACATGTAAAATATTTACATTTCAGTCACTATTCTTAGTAGGAGCTCTAGTAGCACAGTGCCTAAGGCACTTGACCGCTAACCAGAAGGCTGTTGGTTCAAACCCACCAGCCACCCCTCAGAAGGAAGGTTGGGCAATCTGCTTCCGTAGTGATACTGCCTCAGAAACCCAAGCAGGGGTCGCTGAGTCGGAGCCGACTCGACGGCATATAAGAACAACATTCTCAGCACTTTAAATATATTAACTGATTTAATCTTCAAAACCCTTCACAAGGTACATACTATTGCATCTTCATTTTACAGACAAGGAAAGGGAGGCACAGAGAAGTCACATAATGCGTTCAAGGTCACACAGTTGGCAAATGGAGGAGCCAGGATGTAAACCAGGTGGACTGCCAGAAGAATGAACAAATTTGTTCTGGAAGAAGTGCAGCCAGAATGCTCCTTAGAAGAAAGAATGGCCAGACTTTGTCTCACCTACTTTTCGATCATGTTGTCAGAAGGGACCATTCCCTGGAGGATATCATGCTTGGTCAAATAGAGGGTTAGCAAAAAAAGGGAAGACCCTCAATGAGATGGATTGACACAATGGCTGCAAGGATGGGCTTAAGCACAGCAGGGATTGTGAAGATGGTAGAGGAGAGGGTAGTGTTTTGTTCTGTTGTACTTAGGGTTGCTGTGAGTAGGAGCCAACTCAATGGCACTTAACAACAACTACAGTCAACCCATTACACAGTGGGTCAGTGACTACTCTGAGATCCCCTAGCTGCTGTCAGGTAAGGCCAGCCCCCACGCAGCACCTGCCCCTGCACTGTACCACCCTGGGTAAAGGCCAGAACTGGTCTGACCTGGGCTGCCAGCACCCCACCTGTCTGCACACCATTCACCATGCCACGGCCTCCAGTCTAGGCTGGAACCTCCAATGGCCCAGGACTCGTGAAGACTTTTGTTACCTCTGTGTCAAAGTAGGCAGGTTCACAGGGGTCTCCATCCCCTCCCAGGATGCAGGATGAGTTGGGGCTCCTCGCTGGTCTGATTCCTCCTCTGAGTGTGTGAATAGTTCTCATTCATCAGTGAGCAGCTACGACATGACATGCCACACTGGGCAGGTCTGAGGGTATGCTGAGGCCAAAGGGTATTGGTCACACTGGAGGAGCCTCCAGATACTGAGTGGGGATATGGAACACTGAAGGGGAACAGCCACACAGACAGGCCAGTGACGTGGCAGGGCCCTGTAAGCCATGGGAAGTATGCTGTGAGCAGAGGTGCTGGGGACACACAGCCCTGCCTGGAAATGAGCTTAGTGGGGGCTACTGCTCCCTGAGGCAGGGCTCCTAGGCTGGCAGAAAAGATGGATGCATGAGCAGACATCCCAGTGGAATGAGAGCTAATCAAGAAGATGGCACAGGGCCTGCTTCTCTCTAGATAAAAGTCTGCACAGAACGTACATCTACAGAGAGAGCTTGAAGCTCATGCTCCTTTTGGTGGAGAGGAAGCTGAAGATACTGGGAGCCCCTCCTTGGCCCACCCATGCTTAGGGTCAGGAGGAACACCATCTGCTCCAGAGAGCTGTTCCAGGGCCCAGCAACATGGGGCACAGACACCATTCCCTGTGATTGTGAAGTCACACCCCAGCTGAGCTTGGCAAGGGTCCTGGAGTGTAGACTCTGCCAAGGTTTGAGGCTCAGGGAGGCAACTCCCGCCTTCTAAACACAGGCTGAAGAACAGAGGTTGTTTCTAGCTCACCCCAGCCTATTGCTCTGCCAACACAGGGACAGGTGGCTGTGAGCATGGCCAGTAGGCAGCAGGTGGTCCTCACAAAGGGGCAGCTCTTTGGTAAGATGCTGCCAAATAAGAGGCTCCCAGCCTGGAGCACCCACCCCCAGCCCATGTCCCATATTCCCTCCATAGCTCCAACAAGGGCACAGGCCAAAGGCCACCTTCAGGGAATTCCTTGGGCTTCCAGTGAGATGCTGGAAAGGGTAAGGGGCTCAGCTTGGATGGGACACGGCATCTGTTGGACCCTTCCTAGAAGTCAACTCTCTCTCCTCACACCCTTCATGAAAGGTGGGAGACTACTGTTCCATGTCGCAGAGAGAAAAAGTTGCCTCCAGGGGAGCCATCATTATCAGAGGCAAAGGGACCTTGGAATGGCACAGGAAGCCCTGCAGCCTCTGGCAAGTGGGCTTCCACACCTGCTTGCATACCTCTAGAGTGGGGAGCTCACTGCCTCCCACCAAGCAGCCTGCCATACCTGAGAAGCCAGACAGGGCTCAGGTTGTTCCTTTCACCCTTGCCCAGGGCCTTGCTGATCCCACCAGCCTCAGCTCCTCCTCACTGTATTCTAGTCTTCCTTTCATTTCCTAAAAGCCAATCTCTCCTGCCTCGGGGCTCTTGTCCATACTCATTCATCTGCTTTTATCCTTCCTTTTGCATGGCCAATGGTCTTTGCTTGAATGACATTTTCTCCAGAAAGCCTTCTGGATCTTGCAATACTCAGTCAGGCCTGCCTGCTATATGCACTCACAGCAGCCTGGACTTCTCCCTAGCTGTTACTACAGCCCAAACTAATTAGTGCCATGTAGGTATTTGTCTAATTAGTGTATTAACCTTTTTTTACACACTTTAAACTATGAAGAGGCAGAGACCAAATGCATCTTGTTCATTTTTGTATCCCCAGCAACTGGCACAGTACCTGGGCCACAGTGGGTGCTCAACAAATTATAGTTGCATGGGGGAAGAGAAAGGAGAAGGTATAAAACTATGGTGTCTCACTATGTACCAAACCAAAAAAACAAGCCAAGCCGACTGCCATCAAGTTGATTCCAACTCAAAGCAATCCTATAGGACAGAGTAAAACTGCCCCACAGGGTTTCCAAGGCTGGAAATCTTTACAGAAGCAGAATGTCCCATCTTTGCCCCATAGAGTGACTGGTGGGTTTGAACCAGCGATCTTTTGGTTAGCAGGCCAATGCTTTAACTACTGTACCACCCACTATGTACCAGGCACATACACTATAGTGATGCATTATGTAGCCCTCACAATAGTACCCAGGATACCAAAACAAACCAAACTCACTGCCGTGGAGTCAGACCCGACTCATGGTGACCCCTCCTTGGGTTTCTGAGTCAGTATCACTACGAAAGTAGAATGCCCAACCTTCCTTCTGAGGAGTGTCTGGTGGGCTTGAACCACCAGCCTTCTGGTTAGCAGTCAAATGCCTCAGGCACTGCGCCACCAGAGCTCCTAGTACCCAGAATAGGATCTACTATTATCTCCATTTTCAGAGGAACCAGAGGCCCAGAAAGAGTAAGTGACTTATCCAAGATCATACAGCTCAAGAAATCTGGGTTTGAGTGTGGCAGCCTAGCTCCAGCTCCAGAGCCCATGCTTGTCACCATGTGCTGTGTGGTCTCCCCGAAAATGAAGGGCATCTACTCCCAGGCCTGGGTGAGTCTGCCCTGCCTTATCTGCATAGTCCTCCCCTACTCCTACCCCTGCTCCAGCCTGCCAGCCCCAGGGGTATCTTCCCCAGCCAATTCCTTGATGTGACTCAATATATTCCACATCCTTGCTTTCCACTCCCACCATTTCCTACACCCACTGGGAGCAAGTGAGAAGTGAGGCAATCTCACGGGCATCCCAGTGTGGGAAGAAAGGGCCTTAATGTCTGTTTGTAGCCTGAGGTAGTATAGTGAGTTGAATGATAGCTCCTAAAAAGATGGGCCCATCTTCTAATCCCCAGAACCTGTGAGCATGAACTTATTTGGAAAAAGCCTTTTTGCAAACATAATTAAGAATCTTGGGATAAGATGGCCCTGGACTATCCATATCAAGGTTGGCCCTAAATCTAATGGCAAGTGTCCTTACAAGAGACAGAAGAGGAGAGACACAGACAGATGGAAAGCCATGTGAGACGGAAGCAGAGATTTGGAATGCCAAGGATTGCTGGCCACCAGTAGACATTGGGAGAGAGACATAGGACAGAAACTCTTACAAAGTCCATAGGAGGAATCCACACAGCCAATCATCTGAGATTCCTAGCCTCTATAACTATGAGACAATACATTTCTGTTCTTATAAGCCACCCACTTTGTGGTACTTTTTACAGCCACCCTAGGAAACCAATATAGGAACTATGGGAAGTCCAGTGATGTTCAGAGGGAGGTAGAGTTGGGGACAGGGGACGGGAGATCTAGTGGGGACAGCTCAAACAGGGCCTTGTCAATTCCGTTTAAGAGTCTGGTCCTCTCCTCAGGCATCACTGAGACCTGGCATCCTTAGGGATGAATATAGTCAGACTTACCCCCTCCCCAAGGCAAGTGTAAGGAGCCCTGGTGATACAAATAGTTAAGTGCTTGGCTGCTAAATAAAAGGTTGGCCGTTTGAACCCACCCAGCAGCTCTTTGGGAAGAAGACCTGACTATCTGCTTCTCTAAAGATTACAGCCTAGAAAACCCAAAGGGGCGGTTTTACTCTGCCATGTGGGGTCACTATGAGTCAGAATCCACTTAACGGCACCCAGCAACACCAAGGCAAGTGCAGCTGGGTCATTCCAAAGGAAAAGAAGTCACAAACAAGAACTTTCAGAAGGTGGAAAAGGGACTCATTTAAGCAAAAAAACCTTCTTCCTGGGGTGGTTAGGAGGGAACTCCAGGTGACAGAGGACAGGACAGGAAAAAACTGGTCAGTGGAGAACGCCAAGTCCTAAAGGCCCTGAGAGGTGAGGGAGAAGAGAGAAGCCGGAGCAGAACAAATAGATTCAGCTTGGAGAGGACAGGGCAGGTTGTATCCATGATCTTACTTTGAGGCTGGTAGTCATCTGCTTTGTACCGTGGAGGGATAATCCGCTCCAGGTTCCATGGGATGCTCTGGGCAAAGACAGAGGAGTCTTCCTCAATGTACTCAACATGGGGCAACCTCAGGGCCTGCAGAAAGACAGAGAGGCTTAGGAATCTGCTCCAAAAGCCCTTTACACAACCATGGTCCTTCCTCCCACCTGATCAAACCTGTCCCCAAGTCACACCATAACTCAGCATCCTCCCATCTTATCCTCCAGGTTCCAGCCTGATGTCTTGGATGACAGACTGAGAACCAGAACTTTCTCACTCCCCACCAGGCTGGGCAGGCCAGAGCTCCAATAGCGTGGTCACTGAGCCAAGTATTGCATAGTCCAAGCAGTCCTTTTAGGAAGGAGTCTTCATTTGACATTAGCTCTGGGCAAGCTGGACAGGAAATGGAACTCAGAACCTGGACACAACATCTAAATCATGGTAGTTGTGCTGCTAATTCTGTTTGCTCCAGACCCACTCCCTGCCCTTTTCTGCCCTCTTTGGAGCCCAGGAGGCTAAACCTGCAGATGGTAACACCCATGCTCCCCTGCAACGGCTTCTGGTTTGGCTCAGCCAATGGGAGGCACAAGCCAAAGTTTGGGGGACAACAGTGCTTCTCCTCCACCCTTTCACTGCTTTCGTGGAGGGCTCCACAATGGCTGTGACCTTCCCTGACCACGATGCCCCCTGGACAGCCCTTCCTCCATGCCACCAACTCACTCTGGGCTTGGAAACACTATTTCCTCTCCTTGCTCTTCAGACCTAGTGATGGTACAGCTTCCCACTGCAACTAGTCTCTGGGAACCTCAGCCTCTCCATGGGCTCCCTTAACCCTTCATCTACCCTTGTGAGTTTCTGTACCTGGCAACTATTTAAACACTTTGTGATCTCATTTAGTCCTTAAAAGGCTGATCCTATTATTATTCTTCCAGACAGAAGACTGAGGCTCAGTGAGGTGAAAGAACTTGCCCAAGGTTAGAAAAACTAGTAAGTGGCTGAGCTGGAACTTGAACCCAGGTTGGTCTAATCCCAAACCCAGCTCTCGATGGTGAATGTCTGAGGCCTCCTGCTCACCTCTCCTCTTCCCTGAGACGCTGCCCTGGCCTGTGGGCTTGTGCTCACTATCTGGCTGTAGGCCAGCACCTATTGATTCCTCCCACCATGCACATCACACTGCACCACAGTTAACTGCACTGGCAATCCCGGGTCAGTTTCTCCTTCCCACTGCGAACTCAGAGGGAAGGACTGGGTGGGCTAGATATATAGTAGATGTTTGTTAAGCATGTGTTGAGCAGACTGCTTGAAGGCATTTACAATCTCCACCCTAAACGAAAAGTCCCCAGAACTGGGCCCCTGGCCAATCCATATCATTGTCCTGCAGGATGAATTGCTTGCAGTGGAGCGCTGGGACCTGGGTCCACATTTGGCTCAGCCAGTTACATATCATGTGACCTCAGGCAAGACCCAGCCCTGCTCAGAGCCTCAGGGCCTCAGGGCTTCAAAGCCTCAGTGTCTTCCGGAGGCTGAGAAACTCCTAGCCAAGTAGAGAGCAGTGTGTAAATGGGAACCATGTGTTCTCATCAGGTTATGACAGCAGAGGGAGTGGGCACAGGGAAAGGGAGTAAAACAAGGAAGGCTTTTAGAATCTGCATTTGCAGCAGCTAGGGCCAGGGCCAGGGTGAGAAGAAGGGGAGCCAGCAGATCTCAACTACCCAGACCCCTTTTTGCCCCTAAACCAAAGATGTGACGTTGAGACCGAGCTGGGGGGATAAGAGCCCTGTCCTAGGGAAGGAGCCTTAGTGTGGATAACATCAGCTTCACAGAAATTTCTTCGCCTGGGCCCTCAGTCCCACTGAGTGTCACAGAGACCTCATCCCTACAGGTTCCTCGACAGGAGGTCATTAGCAGACCGACATGAGTTTGATCCTAATTGGCTGTGTGGTCCTTTTTGAACCTCAGTCTCTTCATCTTTCAAATGCAGATGAACAAACCACTGGAGTGTGGCAAAGCATAAAGGATGTTCTGTACGTAAGCCAAGGAATCATTATGCTTGCTACCCAGTAAGTGCTCAATAAATGTTGGTTGTCTCCTTCCGAATTTCAGTGATGGGAATGCTAAGGACAGTTGCCAAGATATACCTGGTGGCCCAGCCCTTTCAGGAAGCACCCACCCCAGGTGGCTCACCAGGTCTAGCAGGTCGCCACTCATCTTCACCAGGAAGCCAGGGAAGAGATTGTGGAAGACATGCAGGATCTTGGTGAGGTAACCCCGGCGGGCAGCACGGGACTGAAGGCGGCGGGCAGTGCGCTCTGTCTGTGAGCGGTGGGTCTCCTCCTTCAGCACCACCACGTAGGTGCCCGGCAGCCTCCAAGCATCCTGGCCCCGAGCAGAGAGGAGTAACAGGATGACATTTATTAAAATCTACATGAACTTGTGTTCCACTTCTATTTTGAAAGAATTACAACAAAAGGAAGCAAGAGACACAATAAAGTGTAGTAAACTAAAAAAAGTTTACCAAATCAGGACTAAAAAACCAAACACATCAAAAACCACACATAGGCCAACTATCGGTATTAACACAGTTGATGCAACACTTCGGCAGTCAGGCAAAAATGAAACTGTAGGTGACAATCAACAACAGGCTCTCCTCTGTACCTGCACCTGAGGCCGACTTTCCCTTGGAGACTTTGCCTAAAGGCCACCTTTCCTCCTGAAGGCCTTCCTATTAGACTCTTTCCCCTGTGCCCCAATAAAAATAAATCCCTCCCTCCCCATTCTAGTGCAGGATGACTCCTCTCTGGAGGCAGTCTAGTGTAGGGGAAACATCATAGGCTTTACCTCATTATTTTCACACATTTATTAAGCCAGGCTATGTGCAAGGCCTTGTGCTTAACATTTGAGTTGCCCTCAGGCTGATTTTGACTCATGGTGACCCCGTGTGTGCAGAGAACTGTTCCATAGGGTTGTCAAGGCTATGACCTTTCAGAAGTAAATCATCAGGCCTGTCATCCAAGGCTTCTCTGGGTGGGTTTGAACCACCAACCTTTCGGCTAGTAGTCAAGTACTTAACCACTTGTTACACAAAGAAACTCAACATCATGCACTTTAGAGCCAGAAAAATGTAGGCTTGAATCCCAATTTCATTATTTACTGGCTATGTGACCATGGACAAGTTGTTCAACCTCTCTGGGCCTCAGGTGTCTCCTTTACATGGTGGAGACCATAATACTTATGGCACAGGCCTGTGGGAAGGCTAAGGGGGACAGGTGTATTAAGCGTCTGCAAACACAGGCAGATGGAAGGGATGACTAAATGAGGAAAGGCTCACTTTCCAAGGTGGGTTGGGAGGAGAAAAGATTCAAGGCCGTGGAGCAGGTTTGTTCTGTCTTAGCTCTTGCCTGCTCCTATTGCTCTCAGACAAATGCCTGTTCAAGTACCTTCAGTGGCTCCCCACCACCTGACATATAAGGTCTAAGCTCAGTGCTCACACACAAGGCCCTCCTTTGTCCTTGCCTCAAGCAACCTCTGCAGCTTCATCTCCCATGTCTCAATACATGCCACAGAACATCAACCGGAGTAGAACAGAGTCCACAATCCTTCATCTAAACATATAGGGCCAAATGAGTTTCAAAATTAAGAATTAATTTAGACTTTAGAAAGATAGTACGGGAAGTCAAGGTGCTCAGAGGAGTCTGGAGCAGCTTCTTGAAATCTAACCCATTATTTATGCAGCAAAACACAGGAATATGAATATCCACACAAGGGAATAAATAAAGGCTATAGATAACCTCATGTCAGTTCAGCTTAGGTTTTATTACCAAGTAAATTACAATAATCTTTTGGTTTTCAGAACATTTTGCATTTCAGAAGGCAGATAAGGAACTGTGGACAAGTGCTTCCTACTCTCCACCTCTGGTTTTCCCAACTCTGGGCCTTGTTCATGCTACTCCCTCCACCTAGAATGAAACTCTCCTGTTGCCTTCACCACTGATCTCCTATTTATGCTTCCAAGACCCGTCAAAAATGTCTTCTGATAATGAAAATCTAATGAATTGGGAGCTCTGGTGGCATAGTGCCTAAGGCACTTGACTGCTAACCAGAAGGCTGGAGGTTCAAACCCACCAGCTACTCCTCGGAAGGAAGATGGGGCAATCTACTTCCATAGTGATACTGCCTCGGAAACCCAAGGAGGGGTCGCTGTGAGTCGGGGCTGACTCGACGGCACATAACAACAACAATAACAACAGGGAATTGGGAGGAACTCTGAGCATTGTAGAATGAGTGCTCACCTGGGAGTAAGGCCTCGCCTCTCTGATATACAGTTTCTCATGAGTGAAATACAAGGATTGATCTAAAATCTTTTTCTGCCAGCCAAAAATATTTTCATTCTAAATTTGAATGGCACAAAATACTCAATGAATAAATAAATGATGAGCTTTGGGTGGTTCCTGTTCCAAACTTCTACCCAGGCAGAAAAATTTCCAAGTGCTTGGTTCAGGCGGTTCTCTAGCCTCTGCTTACTTACCTTTCAGGATGGGGTACTCACTGCTTCTAAAACAATTATTTTTGGACAGTGGTGAATTGAAATGCCTTTTCTTGTCCTGCCCGCAACCTGGCAACACCCTTCTAGAAAGTGAAAGCTCGGGGAAAAAGGAAGAGGGCTCTCTGAACTGGGTAAGCCCCTCTTCCCTGTGAAAGCTGGACTGAAGACAATAGGGCTCTCCCTCTCTTGCTAACTAACTCACCCTGCACAGGCAGTACTAAGGGCCTAATAGCCTGCTGCCCCAGAACTCTCCAGGCAGAGGGGCTGGGGCCTGGCCAGAAGGGTAGGCCATGCATCTGTTAGCAGCAGAGTTTGTTCTTGTGCCCCAAAAGCTACCATTTTAGAGCAAAGTCCATGTCACCGGGAGGTAACATTACACCCAGGTACATAACTACCTTTACCTCTTACAATGATCCCTTCCTGGACTTACATATGAGATCAGGCATGTGGGAACCAAAGTTCCTGTCCTGTCATTTCACTATTTGTGGGCACTGAATTTTCACAACCATCTTCCAGAAGGATTATTATCTTCCTTGTAAAGATAAGGAAAGGGAGGCTCAAACAGGTTAAGAAATGACTTGACAAGCACCACACAGAGAGCTAGTGAGTGATGGAGCCAGATTTCAAACTCAGATCTGACTGCAAGCCTGAGCAACGGGACCTGCACAGAATCCTGGGAAGGTGATTAAAGAAACCAGAGGCCCCCACACCAGGGAGGAGCTTCCCCAAACCCCAGCCAGAGGCTTTACAGAAACGTTCAAACAACTTGCCTTGCCTACCCCAGCCCCAACCTCTGCTGGACCTCTAGATGGGCTTCTACTACACTAGGGTTAGCCTCAGGTGTCACTGCTACAAGGTGCCAGCCTTCAGCCAGAGCACCAATATCCTCTCGAGCCCCAAACTGAAGTGCCCCAACAGGTCTCAAGAATAACTCTGTCCCTTCCCCTTTTGTTTTATTCTTTTCTTCAGCTGAAAAAGATTCAGGGTTATAATAAGACTTCTGTGGCACGAAGAAATTGCCTCCCGGCCCAAGGTATGCCGTGTCTCCCACCTCTCCCCCTGCCCGGAGCAGTGCGGTCTCTCTCCAAGACCCCTATCCTCACCCACACAGACACTCCCCACCACACACACTTTATCCACTGAGCGTATTTCCCGATCGAACCAAGTTAGAACACATCATAATAGCAAGCCTACTTTTCTCTGTGCCAGGGGCTGTTTCAAGCGCATTCCAGGCTTTAACTTATTTAACCACCGGAGTCACGGAGATGCCCAGTGTCTGAAATTTGGGCAGGCGATCCAGGACTTGCCCTGTCGCGCCTCCATGTCTCCCACCTCCGCGCACCTCCCCCTCTCACAGTACAGCCACGCGCCCCACCCCGCGCATCCCAAAGCGCAGGCCGCCCCCACTCTCCCGCCACCTGTGCCGAGCCACTCGTTGGGTAATCAGAGAACCCGCGGAGACCTTCACTCCAGCCCTTCCCTTGTATTGGGGAAACTAAGGCTGGAGAGGAGACAGTCACCCCCGCATCCATCCCCAGGGCAAGTCCGCCCCCGGATCCCAACCCTGAGCCCTCGAGCACACCTTGGCGCAGCGGTGGAAGGTTGCAACGGCTACTTGCTGTGCCAAGTCCGCTGGGCCATCCTCCTCGGAGGAGAAGGCGAACACCAGCTCCTCGTAGTCGCCATCCTCATCATCCTGCGCGCGGGCGCCCTCGGGGCCCAGGAGCTGCACCAGCAGCAGCAGCAGCAGTAGCGGCTGCCACCACGGCCGCCGGCAGCTGCCCGTGCCCATTGGGGCAGGAGGAGAGGTTTTCGCCTTGGCGGGGAGCCCCAAGGAGCCGCGCACGATCCACACCAGCAGCCCCTTCTACCTTTCTGGGAAGGACAGTGTTTTGAGCGGGAGCTCTCGGCCCTGGCTCTGGAAGAACGAGAGGGGCTCCCGGGGTTCCGGACAGGGGGCTGCGCGCTGTAGCGACGCGACTCGGCCGGAGCCGTCTCAGTGCTTGGCTAGTTCTTCCAAGCTCCAACCCCGAGCAGAGCGGCGCGCTCCTGCCTGCAGCCACACACGCCTCGACGCCGCAGCGGAAACCTTCTAAGGTGTGGGTGCACGACGCCTGGGGCTCGGGGAGATCACGCCACCTGAGCCCCATCGGACGATCCTATCTGATTAAACATTAACGGAGGCCCGGGGCCGGCGGATCAGGTTTCGGCCTCTCCCTCCACTAGCAGCGTCATAGAAGAAAAATCAACCCCAAATCCTAATTAGGCTGGAAGGCGGGCCCTACTTTCCGTAGGCGTCTCCTCTCCGCCCCTCACCCTGAGCCCTGCCTGCGAGGCCAGACCCTGAGTTCTGCTGAGCCCACCCGTTTAGAGTTTCCGCAGTCTGCCTTGCAGCCCCACCCCTCACCCTAAAGATGTAAAACCATCCCTTCCGACCCCCCACCTTGCCGTGCCCAGTGACACTTTCTAATCAGTCTGATCATCTACCTTCTTTGCCCATCGAACTCTTTGCGCAGACCTTACGTTGGCATCCCCGACACTTCTCAACTTAGCCTCTACTGACTCGGGCCTCTGTCCCTGTTGCATACTGCACGCGACCTCACCAACTAGGCCGTTCTTTGAAGTTGACACTGCTCGATTCCACTTCCGCAAGCTACCTGTTGGATGGAGTGTTTTACCCCCACCCCATCCCAGGAACCTCTGTTTGTTCTCCAAATTTCCTCCCCAAATATCACCTCATTCGTGAAGCTTTACTGGAAGCTCATTACCATCCGACTGCTGCTCCTACCCTGCCACTTAGCTGCCTGCTTTTAACTTCATTACACTGTGAGCTCACTCCTTTATCTCCTCCCCTAGGCCTTGAGTGCCCGCACAGTGCCTGGCACAAAAATGGTGCTAGAGAGGTGCTTTTCTACTGAAAGAATAAATGACACTTTCTCCTCAAGACACGTTGAAAGATGTTCCAAACAGATCACAGAAATCATTCGTTATTAACTACTAGGTGGGGGTTGTTAGGTGCCATCAGGTTAATTTCAACTCATAGTGGCCACAAGTGACAGAGTAGAACTCCCTCATAGGATTTTACATCCTGTATGTAATCTTTAAGGAGCAAGTCATTAGGTCTTTCTCCTGCCCAGCCCCAAGAGGCTTGGAGGTTTTAATTGCCAATCTTTCACTTAGCAGCTGGGCTCTTAACCCTTGAGCCTCCACCAGGGTTCCTGAGGACCATTTTCATTCATATTCTAGGTCAGGAGGGGAATGAATGGGGCAGGGTGATGGTGTGTGTGGGGGGTGTGGGGGGTGGTGATAAAGCACAATTTGATGAGAAAAAGAAAACCCAAAAACGATACTGAGTGAAAGAAGCAAGAAACGAAAGTACATATTGTAGATAATTATATAAAGTTCTAGAACAGGCAAACTGATCCTTGGTGTTAGAAGCCAAGTTAGTTGTTAGCCCAGGGGAAGCAGGGCTTTATTATGACTTTCATGAGTAAAATGGCTGAAACAGGTTTTGAAATCAGATCCATTTTGTCCCTGCTTCTGCTTTCCCATAAGTACATGAAACTTGACTTATTTTGCTGGAGAAACTTTGAAGGTTAATGGCTAAAGTATGTGGTTTTCAGTAAGTATGTGAAATGTTACCTGCACAGAATGTCCTTGGAGAGTTTTTGTTTAGACTGTTTCTGGAGCCTTGTATGAGAAATGGCTGCTGTTAAAAAAGGATAAGTGTGATTTTACATTGTGACTGTCTTATGCCTGATTGGTTGGATTTTTAAAAATCTTATCCAATCAGAAAATTTGCTTAGAAGTTCTTGAAATCTTATATATATATATACTCTCTTCCCTTTGTTAACAAGCTGGAGTGCTTTATAGATCTGCTCAGTACTTCCCAACTCGAGTTGTCTATTCCTTAAATCTCTTTCATTTCAATTTTAGTTTTTACTTTTTGACATTATGGTGTCAGATAAGTGGAATTCAAAGGCATATTATTTTCAGCAGCTGCCAGAACATGAAGGACCCAGAAGTTTTGGTGCCAGCAGTGAGTCCCTTGAGCTCCTTCTGTCTCTGTAAATTCCCAGGAGCCATCCCAGGCAAAGCTTCTCGAACCAAGCTCTGCTTCCTTACGTGATGCTTTTTGAGATTTGTTATTGGATTTCTTTTCTTTCATTTTCAGTTTGGTCTCTAAAGTTTTTGTTGAGTTTGTTGGTGAGACTGCCACTTTGATACTCCCAGATCTGATCATCTGACCTTGGGAGAATCAAAATCTCAGTCCATTAACTTTTGAACTCATCTTTTTCCTTAAAGTGCATATTTCAGGTATCAGTGCATATTCAGATTTCAGTGCACCTGAAGGGTTAGTGCACATTAAGGTTTAATAGCCAGTGTGTTCACTGTTTTAGTAAAATGGGGAAGGAACACTAGCTCTAGGGACTGAGCAGGACCACTTTCAGGCATACAGATGTAAAGCTGAGTTACCCAGACACCAAGACACGGAGTTGTTTTAGAGCAGCAGTTTATTGGCACTCCGGGGCGAGGTTCTCATGCCCTAACAGGAGGGCTAGAGAAGTCGCACCCCCGGGCAGGGGGCATGGATTTTTATAGACACAGAGAGGACCTGTTTGGAGAC